TGATAACCGATAATTATAACCATTATTGGGATGATAACGTCCGAAGCGCGGCTGCAAACAGCCTTTGTTTATTTATTGTGTAAAAAAAGACTGAATCAACATGAGGCGGGACGCATGATTATGCACAGGTTCTAAATGTTAGACCGTTTTTAGACTTCATTTTCACCTGCTGCAAGAACGTTTCAAATAAATAGATACATTTATCTACTACCATTCAAGAAATAATCCTGTAATATTAACACAGTCACAATATGGCAAGCCAGTTTGATACGAACTAGTGCTATTGAATATGTATTCCTGATATCTGAAAAAAAAAAAAAAATTCTTTGTCTAAATGACCCTTTCAAACAAAATGACACATCTGCAATAAACATTCTGGATGTCTATAAATTTATTTCAGATATCCATATTCCTAATATAACTGGTCAGTATTTGTATTATTTTATCTATGAAAAAATGTTTTTTCAGGTAAAACGGTGAAGATCACAATGTTTTTACTTTGATTATTTCATCAGTTTAAATCAATCCTTTTATATTAAATTGATAAACTGAGTCGTATTTAAACTGAAAACAGGAATGCCATCCACATTTTTAGATAAGGTTTTTACCCTACACCTCTCTTTTTTCACTTAGAAAAGAAATACACTTTTGTACAGTATATACTGCTATTACTGGGTATCCTCTCCTTACCTGCTTTAATCGTTTAGTTTAGTGAGGTTATTGCCTGTTCATTGTGATTTGAGTGATGGAAAATAAATATCAAGTTCCTTGTTTGTGCGCACAGACTTGGCCATAAAAGTTGATTCTGATGCTTAAAATGTAACTACATAGTTACTTTGCTTCTGGAGAAGTAACTTGTAACTAAAACTGTTTGCTTTTTAAAAATAAGACTGCCAATACTGCATAAGTTCAGCTTGGTCACTATAATTACATTTATTATTAATTACCGTATGTGATCACTGTATTTTGTTTTTCAAGATTAAAAAAATAGCTTGTTTTTATTTTATTTAGTAATTACCATTATACTCTAGTAGAGGCTGCTCTTCCTCAAATGACTTTACTAACAAAAGAATAAAGTATTTTATCCAGTCAAACTTGAAGTGTAGGAGGTTTAATTTAGCTATATAAATGCAGCTCCTGATTCGTTTTAGACGCTGCAGTTAAAATCTGTTTCTACGAGTCATTATTTCTACGCCACAGGGACACAGGAAGTTGTTGATTAACCATTAAAATTTCACAGAAACTTTGTTCAACTAACAAAAAATTTAGAATGGTGAGAGTTACACTTATTTTATTCGGGGTAACAGTGGTGTTGGATGTAAAGGTTTGCCCTGAAATTGAAGGGTTGACGGTTCAAGCCCCAGCTTTCGTTGTGTCCTTGGGCAAGACACTTCACCTGCATTGCCTACTGATGGTGGTCAGAGGACCTGGTGGCGCCAGTGTACCACAGCCTTGCTTGTGAGCGAGCCCCATGGCAGCTGTGGCTCACTGATGTAGCTTGCCACCATCAGTGTGTGTGTGAGTGCGTGTTTATGGATAAATGACTGAATGTAGTGTAAAGCTCTGTGGTCAAGTCTCCTGACATGGAAAAGTGCTATATAAGTACAGGTCATTTAACATTTATTTTACAGCACTGTTAGCATTCCCAACAAATGTGTGAAATGATTAAAATAATTTCCTAACCTGCATTTTTCTCCATGCCAAGTAAATGCTAAATGAAATATGAATTTTTTCCCTAAATTTTTAATGGTGAGATTGTGCTGCTGAAATAAAACCTGAATTTATATTGAATCCTTGCACACATCTTCACCTGGAAGATGTCACCAGATGAATGTAACATTGGCAAAAGAAGTAAAGAAACAAAAGATTGCATGTAAAAAATACTAAATTGAAAAAAGGTACAACATTTTTACATTTAATTTGTAAAGCAGAGCAGAAAGAAAGTATCTGAAAGGTAAAAAAAAAACATAGTAATAAAATATAAAGAGAGAGCAGCTGTTTTATAAATGGATGAGAAAACTATGCAAGTAAGCGTGACTGTAGAAAAGCCCTTCCAGGGTTGGTAAAAAAAAAAAAAAAATTCTGTAGTCATTAATCTGAGCCTTTATGGAAAAACTAGAATTACGGGGAAGGGTGGGAAACCATTTTCTGTCACTTTCACCTAGTTAGAACCCCATGTAAGCTCTTACTATAGTATAAATCAGTTTTACAAGACATGTTAAGGATGCATACGCAGAGATTTCTTCTTATCTGTAAAACTCCACCTAGTAAACCTGTGGGACTCTGCAGAGTTTGATTAAACAGAAATACAGACCCTGCAACCTCATGCAGCTCAGGAGAAATTAAATGTTGATGTTTTCACTTTTAAATTTTATTTAAAAAGAAAAGAGATGTTCCATTAAGGCTTTAAGGCAAGCTTTGCAAAATGTGCAAGAAACAGGAGATAAAAGGTGGTGAGAAAAGCCATTTTAATCTGGAGAGCCAAGGCTCAGCTATAAACTGTGTGCAGAATTATTAGCAAAATGAATATTTTAACCACATCATCCTTTTCATACTTTTCATGTTGTCCTGCTCCAAGCTGTATAGGCTTGAAAGCCAACTACCAATTAAGTAAATCAGGTGGTGTGCATCTCTGAAATGAGAAGGGGTGTGGCTTAATGACATCAACACCCTATATAAGGTGTGCTTAATTATTAGGCAACTTCCTTTATTTTGGCAAAATGGGTCATAAAAGAGATTTGACAGACTCTGAATAGTCAAAAATTGTCGCATGTGTTTCAGAGGGGTGCAGCAGTTTGGAAATTGCCAAGCTTTTGAAGCGGGATCGTTGCACAATCAAGCGGTTCATGGTTAACCAACAGGGTCGCAAGAAGCATGTTGAAAAAAGAAGACGCAAAATAACTCCCCATGAATTGAGAAGGAGCAAGCATGAAGCTGCCAGGAAGCCATTAGCCCCCAGTTGTGCCGTATTTCAGAGCTGCAACATATCTGGAGTGCCGAGAAGCAAGGGCCTAGGTCTGATTTCAACTTTGGTAGGGACACTATTGGTCTGATGTCTATGCAAAAATATGCATGCTCGTTTTTTTATGCTTGACGTAAAAATCAGGGTGTATTTTATTTAGAGAAATGCAGCATTTCTTGCTACATTTGTACAACATTTGTAAGCACTACACACACTAGATGCTGTTTATCAATGTTAGAAGCATCATCGGCTCTGATGAATGAGGAATTTTGACTTTTTTCCACTTTGAAAAGGTTTGCATTTGAAATTACCAGCCACTAAGACAGAAAGTAAATCTGTGCCTATTAAACAAAATGAAGTCTAAATATGTCTGTTATATCTGGATTTATCCTGTATTTTCTTTTGAAGATATACAATTGTGCAGAGGTAAAACCCACACTTATCTTTTAAATATTTTCTCTGTATCATGAAACTAAGAAAAATAATAGATTCAAGGGACGCCAAATAAATGTATTATATTTACCTTAGCACTGGAACCGACACTGAGCATGTAGAATATTAATTTCACTCTTCAAGTCATCTAGGCTGTAGTTACTGTATTTAACCCACATCATGAAACAATTAATCAGAATAATAGATTATTGAAATATCAACAAATTTAGTAATCAATTAATTGTTAACTGGAGTATAGAGACTCTAAAACATGTCTTTATCTCACAGAGCGACCCACTTTGAGCAAGAATTATACCAAAATTGTAAAAAAAAATATATATAAACGAAAATGTCTGTCAATATTCTCCATCCCCTCTACGTGCAACAAAGCTGTATTGTAAATTATAAACATGTTATTCACATCTAATTATTGGTAGGGACAAGTAGGTTGTTCCAAAAATTTGGTAGGGACATGTCCCTATGGTCTCTATGCAAACCTACGTCCATGCCGAGAAGCACAAGGTGCTCAATACTCAGGGACCTGGCCGAGGTAAGAGAAGCCAAAAAAAAGGCCACCTTTCAACAAGACACACAAGACAAAACTTCAAGATTTGGCCAAGAAATATCTGAAGACTGATTTACCCAACGTGTTTTGGTCTGATGAAATGAGAGTGAGATATATCAACTTCCAAAAATATGAAACTTTGCTATTAAGGAGTCTTTTGGGTTGATTGAGAACACAATTGTGGCCCAATAATAAAAAATATTCCTTAAAAATACAACTTGCCTAATAATTCTGCACACAATGTATTTTACAGTAAAACATTTAGATGTTAAATTGATCTTAGACCGTAGGAGTCTGATCTGGAGAAACTTGCTTCCTGATATGTTTCACACACATAATTCAAATTTAATGGCTTTTTAAAATCCCTCTCTGTTTACATTAAAATGTGTTAAACAAAAACCTACATTTTTGTCAATCTAGATTAATTTAAACTTTGGTTTAAACTAATTTGAACCACCCTCATTTCCTCAGTTTTAATCAAAACTATACAGATTATTCATTGAGGTGAAGGTATTTTTGTTTTCCATCACCCAGTGTATCTCTCACTGATAAATCACCTCACACAGTGTGTGGAGCACACTCTCTCTGATTTTTTTCCTTTCACATGCTTCAGCTTTAACAGTGGCTGCATGTTCTGAGTAATTCCTCTGAAGCTTCATTTAGTCCTCTCACTGTTGTTACAGTAGATGCTGCAGCTTTATTTATTCTGCCTCACTGTTTTGTTTGCTTGAGCATGTTCATTGTTTAAAAAGACCAGACTTTAAAGCGGAATCCTTTCAGTGTGATGTTTCCTGCTCTCAGCGAGGCCTGCGGGTGTTTCTCTCTCAGCAGATGTTTGCATGTTCTGTTTGAGTTGCGAGCTCAGGGCTTCATGCTTTCACTGATGTTAAAGTTGAAGCTTTTTTGGATTGTAGTAATATGAGTGCAGCAAATAAAGAAGTTAAAAGAAGTACAAAATGTATATTAATATCATTGTTTTCTAGTCAGATCAGCCTTATTTGTCACTAAAGCATGAACCATTTCTTCCATTTGTTTTCTTAGGATGACAGTTCATTGAGCAGTGAGGAGGAGGCAGAGATGAGCGAGCCCACGTGGCTAGCACCTGATCTGGGAGCGGTGTCGGACCTAAGCCCAGCCAGCCGTGGAGAGAGGATGCGCCACAGTCCCCAGAACACCCACAGCAAGGACGACGATGGTAGGATTCATAAAAGAGATCGATTTGATTCAGACAGAGGGAAATTGTCTGCTTGTTAGAAGCTCTGAGAGCAGTGCTGGTATTTTTAGGCTAGAGAGGACCTGATGATGAACGGAGGAAGTTGGTGCCTTGTGTGTGTTAAGTTGTTAAAAAATGCTGGTTTTTAACTAAAAGTGTGTTTGGGGTAATTTTACGCATGTCTTAGAGTATAACCGATGTTAGGCTGGCAGATGATGGAGATTTAAAATCAATAACGTTTATATGAGGATAACAATGAAACCTGATGGTTGATTGACGTGTTCATCTTCTTATCTTCAACTATTCGTATATTAAATCCCACACAGCTTAAGAACAGCTGCCCTGTGACAATAGAACAGGAAATAGACCAAACATATATTGTACTTCTCTGAACTAATTGACCACTTAGAAAGCCTAAACACCACAAGATTCATTACTCAGATCACTAGACTAGGTTTTAGGGTCTTACATAAGAAATCTTTAAAACAAGTTAGAGGGAAAATAATCTAAACCCACAGATGACTAATCCAACCATAAGGTTTCGTCTTAATCCATGTTGCAGATCTGTTAGTGCAGCTGTTTGAACCAGGGTCTAACAAATTAATAATGTTGATCTTTTCAAGGCTCAAATGTTTGATACATTTGCCTGTTGGTGTCATTGTAAAAGGCGAGTATATCCATAGAGAAAAAGATATGATCTAAAAAGACCCTCATCTGTGGTTCACACCAACTTATTTTCAAACAGCATCCTCCGATTCACTTACAGATGACTTCTGACTCAAAGCATTTAAGAGACGTGTAAAGTGCAGCATCAACAGATTGTATTCAGTGGTTAAAATCCAAAACACAAAGGTTTCAAAGGCAAACTTCAGTCACTGGAGCTCAACATGTCCAAGATCAAGGAGCTGTGCTGTTGAGGCAAAATAAAAACTCGGCATCTCTTCTGTTCATGGAACGCAGGTTCCAGAGTTGGATAGTGGAACAGGTTCAGCTTTTATACACCTACAAACTTAAAGGCACACTATGCAACATTTTCCAGTTAATTAATGTGTTCCATAACGTTTTGGATGATTAAATGAGTCATTTCAGGTCGAACAAACGTTTTCTCGGCCGCCCTGGTGGTCTGTAGGGGAAATATCGTACTTGCAATTGCAGGAGCCCTCGGCCCGCGCCCACAGGCTCAGAAGTCTCGTACATCGCGAGAGTCGGTCTTGCTTTACGGCGAGAACTTGGCTAACTACAATCTTTGTTATTTAGACACTTGCATAACAAATAATGTATGAAAACATGCTTAATTTTCAAACTCGAAAATTGGAAAAAAAATAGTCACTTACCGCAGTAGACATGGTGATTCGTTGCGTTCGCCTGTCTGCTAAGCTCAAAACAAGCTGAGCATATTTACGACAGTGCACTTTTACTTTCGCCCTCTGGGGGGAGCCTCGCTGGAAAATCAACACCGGTTGCATAGTATACCTTTAAACTGACATTTGGTCATTTTTCAAAAAATACGCTGACAGTGTCTGGACTTGCTGAGGAGAATCAGGACCTTCTTTGTCAGGATCATGGTTTACAATCACATTTAGACTCTGTTCTCAACATTTGCCTGTTTCTAGTACCTTAACCCCAAAAATAAAACGCAACTCATTTACATAATTAATCGGGCCAAAATGAAGAACTGCCTTCGTCTGAGTTGTTATACAGCTGCTCGGTAAGCAGGAAGCCTGTCTGCCACGTCCCCTCTCACTGTTAGAGAAAAGATCAGCCCCATCCTTCTCCTCACAATCTTATCCCTCTCACACTCTAGGGAAGTGGTTCTCATCCCTACTCCTCAGGGACCCTTTCCTGCATGTTTTAGGTTTTTCTGTTCTCTTTGCTGTGTCACACCTGACTTAAATGAATGAAAGATTAACAGGTTTCTTTTGCTGAGGAGGAGCAGTCATTTGGATTAGGTGTGTTGAAACAGATACACATCTAAACCACTGAAGGTAGGTGTCCCTGAGGATCATGGTTGGAAACCGCTGCTCTCAATCAAACGCTTCCCATGAGGCAAAGAACCGTTATCTCACTACTCTGTTTCTGACTGGGGTTCCCCGTTATGAAAACTCATCAGGAGCTACCGCTCAACAGCTAAGAAGAGAAATCCACAAATCTTTGCCGCCATCACATCTATTCCCCTCCTCTGCTGCAGCTCTAAAGAAACTGTGACTGCAGCAGCACTCACAACCTCCACTGTTGCTATGAGATTTATTAATCTCTCATCTGACTACCAGAATTAATGTTAGGTGGGTATTCTACTAACCAGCAAGCAGTTTGAGCCTTTAGTTGGAGAAGACAGCTCATTTCAGCACAGCAGACGGGCCACACACACACAGTTATGAAGGCGTGTTCACAAGTTCACTTCAGAAGCGGGCAGGCCATTACTCTAAGAAGCTGCTGAGCTTCTGCGTCACTCGGCTGAACAATAATATCTGTGGTGGAAAGCTTTTATTGCTCCATCAAAGTGACAGTTTGAAAATGTTAGTGTTAAGGTTTGAAATAGCCTGCTGGCTTCGTATTAAACCATCAAAGCTGTTTGGTGAATGTCAAAAAGTCTCATTACTTTTAAAAGACAAATCAGTATTGATGTGATTTTTTTGGTGTAATTTGAACTAAACTGAACTAGTTATAAAACTTTATTTATAAGGCTTTTTCAGATGAAAAAAAAAAATCATAAAGTGCTTCACAATAGATTAACACAACAATATAAATGCTGAGAATGCGTAAGAAACCCAAATGATTAAAAAACAGAAGTTATAAGATTATTGTTAACTGTAATTTAAAAGACATCCCAGAGTCAAACGATCTCAAGAGAAAGGAAAGGAGTTCCAGAGTAAAAAGAAGGCTCTGTCTGTTCTCAGCTAAGTGTAGGAACCATCAGCAGGAGCTAAAGGACACGAGGCAGAAGTCCACTGAGATTGCCTGATGGCAACCTTTAAAAACCCTCCAAGTCAGTAGAAGACTCCTAAATTAAAACCTTACAGAGATTCTGAAGCCAGCAAGGAGGAACGGGGAGCACTGTCAGAGTCCTGCAAAATGACCTCCAGCAGTCCACAAATGTGCATACTGTATGTCTTCATAAACGTTAGAAACTGACTCCATGAGGATGGTATGAGGGCCCAACGGCAGATGGTGGTTGTGCTCACTGCCCAACATTGTGCAGGATGCTTGACATTTGCCAGAGAACCTCAGGATTGGCAAATTTGCCACCGGTACTCTCTGATCTTAACAGATGAAAGCAGGTTCACACTGAGCACATGTGATAGAAGACACTGTGGAGAGCGATCTGCTGCCTACAACTTCCTTCAACACAACATGTCTGTCAGTGGGTCAGTTATGGTGTTGGGAGGCTTTTTTTTGTGCTCGTCAGAGGTAGCGGGACTGCCATTTGGTACTGAGATGGAATCCTCAAACCTCTGGTGTGGTTGGCCATGTGTTCCGTCAAATGCAGGAAAATGCTAGACTTCATGTGGCAAGTGTGTCAGCAGTTCCTTTAACATGAAGCCATTGAAGCTATGGAACGGCCCTGCCAATTCCCCAGACCTGAATCGGATTAAGCACATCTGGGATATCATGTCTCGCTCCATCCACAAACGTCCTGTTTTACCAAAGGCTGTCCAGGAGTTTGCTGATGCTTTAATCCAGGTCTGGGAGGAGATCCTTCAGTACACCGCCCGCCATCTCATCAGGAGCATGCCCAGGCATTGTAGGGAGGTTATACAGGCACATGGTGGCCACACACAATACTGAGCCACATTTTGACCTGTTTTAAGTTAAGTTGGATCAGGCTGTGGAATGTTTTTCACTTTCATTTTGCATGTGACTCAAAATCCGGGCCTCCATTGGTTAATACATTTGATTTTACTGATGATTTTTATGTGATTTTGATGTCGGTACATTCAACTATGTACAGAACAAAGTATTCAATGAGAATGTTCATTCATTCAAATCTAGGATGTGTTATTTGAGTGTTCCCTTTTTTTTTTTGAGCAGTGCATATTAAAATAATATTTATTACTTTGGTCTATCTCAATTTATTTCATTGATAGCTGTTTTTTTTCTTCCGTCTTTAATGGAAGGATTTGTAAACTTTCAAGCACAGCTGTGTTCCAAGGCGAAGGCGAACCGTAACATAAGATTTTTTTTTTTTTTTGAAATGGTGCATTTGACTTATGATCCTTTGAGGGAGTTTATACTGTTATAATAAATTATAACAATCTGATCCTGTTATCTGTAGCTTAATAATTATGATCACACTGCTTTAATGGGACCATTGGGCTGAGGAGGTCCATGTCTTCATAGAACCCGATCTGGGGAAGAACATGGCCTTGGTTTATCTTACAGCTGACAAGTGCATTGATCAATCTGCTGCTCATAGGGGGATGTGGTGGATGTGTTCTTGTGACTGTTCCACTCCTTTCTATGTATCAGCACCTTAAAAAAAGAGTTTCTTTGCTTAACCTCCCAGCCTATCCCTGTTTTTATGCGTAGCTTCGAGCTGAACTCCTCCACCCTGCTGACCTCTCCAACACGAAACACTCCTGGCTCTATTTCAGCCCATCATAGAGTCAGAACTGCTTTTCTTGGATCCTCCTTTTCTCAATTGTTAGCTATCTAGAAATACTGATGAAGAAACTTTATTCGCAGCTGACTTCTAGTGGACATTTTTCATTAACTCTATTTTATTTAATGAACATTTTCACCAATAGAGATAGAATACCATGATTTGCTGAAGAAAACCTCTAATATAATTAGCGGATCAAATCTTTCTGAATTTATGCTAATAATCCATTTTATTGTCAGAAGATTCCGATTTCCTCAGAGATTGAAAAATCTGCCTGGAGACGGTGCACATTCATTTCTAATTGTTTCATTTATTCCTCCTTATAATCTCTACTATTGCATACTGTTCTGACAAATTTCACGCATTTTTGTTATGATGACAC